CCTTAAAGCTGCTCACCACATACTACATTACTTAAGGAGTACAACCAGCATGGGCCTATTTTATCCAGTTACTTCTGATTTGAAAATAAGGGGTTTTTGTGATGCTGATTGGGCATCTTGCAAAATGACTTCTAGGTCTCTAACTGGATATTGTGTGTTCTTGGGCCAAGCTCTCATATCTTGGAAGACCAAGAAGCAGAAAACTGTATCCAAATCATCTGCTGAGGCTGAATATAGAGCTATGTCAGCAACCACTTCAGAACTGGAATGGATCAGCTATCTGTGCAAAGATCTTGTTGTGCCTTTGCAACTACCTATCATTTTATTCTGTGATAACAAGGCAGCCATTCACATTGCTTCAAACCCTGTCTTTCATGAACGAACGAAGCACCTCAACATAGATTGCCATTACACTCGAGATAAAATTTCTGAAGGGTTCCTACAGACAGCATTTGTTCCTTCAAGACTGCAACTTGCAGACATTCTTACCAAGCCATTAGGCGCAGTCAGTCACTGGGATTTGGCTTCAAGGATGGGCCTGTTACGTTCACCTCCCAGTCCACCTTGAGGGGGGGATGTAGAGTATATTGGGCTGTATGTAATACATATTGGGCCACAACAAATATCTTGGGCTACCAGCTTTCTTGTTAGTTAGTTGGGGTTTGTTATCTTCTTGTTAGTTAGTTAGCATTCTGTTAGATGGGCTCATATGCCTCTTTAAATACTGCTTCTGTATTCCTGTTATGATGATGAAATACGAGATATTCTTCTTCTTCTTCATTTTCATTCTCTCGCCATTAGCTTTACATAGTCTTATTTAGTGTTAGGCAAGATTGAATTATATTGAATGGAACACTACTATATGTGTAATAAAATAAAAATAAAAAAGAAATTGTAATATGGAGTATCGATTTTAATTTCTTTTTCATCATATCATCAAATGCTCCTTAGCAGAATCCCTTCGAAAGTGATCCCTGGTCCAAAAGCCAAAGCAACTCCCCATTCTTCTTCTTCTTCTTCTTCCTTCTTCCTCTTCAGCTCATCTCTCATATGCTCAATCACATATAATATGGTATTGCTACTCACATTCCCATAATCCATTAACGCCCTTCTGCTGCAATCCAACTTCTCCTTCCTCAGCCCCAGCGTCCCCTCCAGCCGGTTCAGTATCGCCGGCCCCCCGGGATGAACCGCCCAGAACATCTCGTTGTACCCCGCCTTCTTCCCTCCGGCGACATTCCCCGCCAGCTTCGCGCAGAACTCCTCGATGTTGTCCTGTATCTTCTCCGGCAAGTCCCTCCCGAGCTTGAAGTTTATCCCCTCTTCCGACAGCCGCCCGTCGATCACGCCCTGAGTTCCGGGGAGGAACTGCTGGGCGGCGAAGAACAGTTCCATGAACGGGTTCTCGACGCCCGCCATCGGGTCCGCCCCGATGATGGCCGCCGCCGCCCCGTCCCCGAACAGGGCCGCGCCGACCAGGTCGTACGGCCTGGCCATGTTCGGGGGCCGGAACCCGAGGATGGTCGTCTCCGAGGTGGTCAGAAGGACCCGGCTCCCCGGGTTGTTCTCCGCGATGTCCTTCGCCACGCGGAGCCCGGTGACGCCGCCGTAGCATCCGAGGAAGTAGAGCATGACGCGGTTGACGTCGCTCCTCAGGCCGAGCTCGGCCGCCAGGTACAGGTCTCCCCCGGGGAGACGGATCTCGCTGGAGGAGACGTACACGAGGTGGGTGATCTCTGCCGCGGGGCGGCCCCAGTCGTTGATGCAGGCGAGGCTGGCCTCCTTCGCCATCTCCACGACGGCGGGGTTCGCTATCTCGAGGCGCTGCGCGATGGTGGGAGTGCCTTCGGTTGCGAGCTCGGGGTACTTCTCGAGCACGTCCTTGCACATCACCGTGTATCTGGTCTTCACTGTCGTCGTTTTACCTTGCATCAAAGTCAGATAGATAATTAAAACCAAGCATTTTGAAAAGACTATATAGCATTTAAGAATAGAGTTTAATTTCTTTATTACAAAGTCTCTCGAGCTTCTCTTT